TTTTTTTTTTTTTTTTTTTTTTTTTTTTTTTGTTACCGGCGATTGAATTTGCATCTTTGTGCTTTCAAGGCAGGCGCAGAACCACTGAGCTAAATCCCCATCTTCACTTTCAAATTGAGAACACGAGGCTTAAAAAGCTAAGTTACTTTCTGAAGTCCTATAGCTATTTCAGGCACATGTTTAATTTGTGATAGAGGACTAAGTGTGATTTTCAATGTCTAGAATTTTCTAGGTCTGTTATAGATTCTTTCAAACATTGTTTAAATTGAAGAATCAGATATTTATTTATTTATTTATTCACTTTTTTGTACAAGGGGGGTCAACCCAGGAGTTCACACAGGCAAGGTAAGCGCTCTTTCACTAAGCATTAAATCTTTCACTAAGAATTAAATCTTTGCAAAACAGCTTTGATATTATTTGTACCTTGTCTTTGAAAATACGTCTCCCTTGCACATTGTCTAGATGTGAACTATGATTAGGATATCACTTCACTATTTGACTTTTTAATGTGTTTTGATCCTTACAAACTTTAGATGTTGAAAGAACAGTGTTTTATCACTGTTTCTACTTTAGTGACATATAAGATGTGACAACAAAATGCACTGAGTATTTAAATTAAAAAATTATGCAGTAAGATACATTGCTATTAATATCCCTCAGAATGGTTCCTCTTGCTTTGAACAAACTTGTCCCATCATTCTTGCCACTTTCTAAAGCAATTCTGGAAATCTTTTCTGGGTGTCTTTAGTGTACTGTTGTGGCTGCCTTGACTTTCTGAACTGATTCAAAATAATTTACCTTTCATGGTCATTTTGACTTTGGAGGAGAGCCAGAAGTCACATGGTGCCGGAGCCAATGAGTAAAGTGTGTGAAGACATGCTGTAATATTGTTACGAGCCTGCTTTTCCATTGGATGGCACGTGGCACAGCATTCACTATACTTTTGATTACATCTCATAAAGTTATGAAAGAGGACTTCCAGACCTGCTTCAAAAGTGGCAAAAATGATAGGATAATTGTGTTTAAAGAAGGAGGAATATCCTGGGGGAATTAATGGCAGTGTATTTTTAATTGTAACACATTTTTTAAAACACCATGTATTTTTGGATCAGGTCTCATGCACTAATGTCACACAACTAACAAGTTGCAGAGCCTTATTAAAAAAAACAAACTGATTTCTCAGATTAGATCTGGAGTTGGACTCACTGAAGAGAACTTACACAGCCAACCTGGAGCAGAGAAGTAAGCTGCTAATGATGGTGCAGTAATGTGGGCCTGTGAGGCGGAAAGGAACAGATCTGGGAAAATATCCTCATCCTTGACGTTTATCATGTGGGAACTAAGAGAATCTTTTTCTTTTCTTTCCTTTGGTACTGGGTCTCGAACTGAGAACCTCACACTTGCTAGGCAGGCACTGTGCCACTGAACTAAATCCTCAGCCCAAGAATCTTGCTAAATTAAGGAGGTACAGGTTTTGAGTAGTGGCTGGAGTTTGTAATTTGAATTTTATTGAGATAATATAATGGAAAAGAACATTTCCTCAAACCTAAGTTTAAGCATTTTTTTTATTATTGCCTACCTTAGGTAAGTCATTTGATTTATTTATTTATTTTTTTTTTTCTACTGGGGATTGAACTCAGGTCCTTGTGCTTGCAAAGCAGGTGGCGGGACCACTGAGCTAAATCCCTGGCAGTCATTTGGTCTTTTTAAGCCATGGTGATCTTATCTATAAAATGAGAATAGTAATATTAATCTTGTGAAGCTTCTCGTGCTCAGTCTTTTTTTTTCCTTCTACATTTGTTTGTATCTCAATAGTTTTAGTAGCTACATAGCTAAATTATATTGTTCCAATTTTAGTATATGTGCTGCTGAAGCGAGCACATAGCTAAATTATAAATTGGTTACATGTTCCTATACTGAATGCAGAACTATGAGAAATTTATTACTGAAAGGGGCATCATAAAGGCACCAGCTCTTGTGAACTTACCTTGTTACCTTTTATTTGTTATAGACTAGATCCCTGGCCTTTTTCACATGACTTTTTATTACAGTTGTGAAGGGTTTAAATTCTGTATCTGGTAAATACTACTGAATTGTTTTATCATTCATTAATTTTTTTTTCCTAGCTGTATAACTTTGGAGAGACAGTTTCTATTGTGTTTTGGACAGACACTTGGAGACCAGAGAGCTTCTTTGACAAAGTGGAAAAGAACAGACAAAGTGGCATGCATACTTTATGCTTACTAGGTAAGAATTTTGGAGTCTCCTTAAAGTTGCAGTGCAATTGTCAGATATTCTCTCTTTCTAAATTTTGTGATAAGGTAGAAATTATTTTATGGGAAACTAAATAGATGTAGAAGGACAGAGTCTAGCCATTGCATATCCCATCTTATACGCAGGGGAGACTGGCCCTATTACATGACGACTCCTGCACTCATGACGTAGTCCATGCTGCTTCTCTTTGTGACCTGCACATTCTCTCCAACATTTATACTCATCTGTCCATAAGGCCCTCTTGGCAGTTTACCGCAGTTCAACAAACTTGTATAGAGCACTTCTTCCCACCTCCCTCCATCTTACATTTTCTAGGACCATCGTGGCAAAAAGCTGTAGCATGCATGCTGCAGCAGGCTGTTTGTTATCACTGAAAGCTATAAAAGGTTTACCATCCTGGTTCTGGAATGTTTTGTAAATAGTGCAGTATTGATGCTATCAGAATTACAGAATGATGCATCTGAAAGAGATTCTAGAGATCATCTTCATCTGTGAAACCAATGAACTTGAGGCCAAAATGCCAAGTAATTTTCCCATTACTTCCCAGCTAATTGGTGGCAGACTTGATAAAATCCAGATAACCTGTTATTCACAGCTTTTTTCAATCTATGTTACTGCCCAAATCCTATTTCCTGTTTGGTATCGAAAGAGATAGGATTAGTAGGTCTGGATAGCAAGATAATGGTACTGAGTTTCAAAAGGAAAAAGGCTTTGCCTTCTAGCAGTGGCCCTGGAATTGTACTGATTCACACATTTTAAGTCCCTATTCTAATAGCATATGTTGTAGAAAGAAATACTGGTGTCAGAAATTTAATCTTCATTTGGTTGATGAATAGAACACAGCTAACTGACATCTTTAATAACTCTGAAATGATACTTATAGTTAGGGCCAGAAGATAAAATCTGAGCACTTCTACTAAGTAGCTGGAGAATGCTCTGGGACGTACTTAGCATTTGTCTTCATATTTATAGAATATGGAATAATTCTTCCTGCCTTACAGGTTTTGTTTAGAGCAGTACTTTTCAAACTACTGTGGTAAAGATTCAAGGTTGATGTATTTAAAAATGGTTTTTAGATTTCTATTCTTTTGTATCAGTGTTAGATTACTATAAATGTAAGTACTTAATATCACTTCTGTAGTTAATTCATTTTTTACTGGTCATAAGGAGTCCTCAGACATTGGTTCTGAGAACATGTTTTGAATGGTACTATTTTAGTGACCCTGTAAGTGAAACCACCCACAGGAATATCTGCTACATTGCACAGGATCAGGGCAGAGGATGAACGCAGTATTGTGGCCTCTACAGTAATCCAGAATTCAGAATATACGTACAGTATACGTCTCTGTTATTCAATAAGATATAATTTTATATAACCTAGTCAATATGAAACCCCATCACTGTGTCTTAATAGAAAAGATTACAGCTCCCCTTTACTAACAGGGTATAAATTGGAAATTAGCATCTAGCACACAGTTCAGCCCATGCATCTGTTCTGGCCTACTGTTTGTTTTATAAAGAAGGTTTTGTTGGAACATTGCAACATTCACTTACTTATGTATTGTCTTTGTCAGGGAACAATATTTGTAAAAGAGACTTTATGGTGTTCAGAATCTAAGGTACTTATCTGTTCTTTTACATAAGTTTACTAACTCCTGATCCGGAGTGAAATTTAATCTAATTTTAAATATTGCAGCCTCTATTTACCGCAGTGACTCTCTTTCCCTTTACCACTCATCTGAGTTATTTTCTATATTGGTCAGTTTTCCTACTCCTGGGATAAAATACCTGGTACCTGCAACAAGAAATACCTGACACCTGCAACTGCAGTTACTAGCGTAGAACTCCTGATCTGTTGGAATTTCCTGGTGATATGGATATTTTTTATTCTTATAAGGTGACTGTTGGTGGATTTCTGAATAGGACTATTCACTAGAAAAAATAAGTTATGTTTAGAAAATTGAAAACTTCAGACTCGCCCCTCATTCTCAAGGAAAGGGAAGGGATCTGGATATTGAATAAATAATTGGTCATGCCCATGTGATGATGCCTCCACGGGATTCATGAACCATGGAGGTGGGAGGACTTTTGGATTGGTGAACATCTAAATTTCTGGAGGATGTCAGAGCTCGACTCCACAGGGACAGAAGTTCCTGTGTTGAGACCTTTCTAAACCTTGCCACTGTGTCTTCTGATCTGGCTTTTCATTTGTAACCTTTGAAATAGCCTTTGTAATAAATAGGCAACAGGAAGTAAAATGTTGTATCGTCCCTGAGAAAGCTAGGGCATTTAGCACGACGTGTGTGAAACATCTCTTTTGTATTACCATAATTGTCAAGGGGACACAGTAGATAGGGACAAGAATGTCTGGATAAATATCATCTGAGGGGTACTTAGAATTATGTAAAGTTGTAGGTAAGAAGGCAGAAGAGCATGGTGGAGGAAAGTTACTCAACTCAAAGCAGGTAGGAAGCAGAGCAAATGAGACAGAGCCAGGGAGGTAGAGTCCAAGGACCATGTCCACTCCAGGGTGACAACTCCATGAGCACCCAGGAGGTTAGTGCGCTTGGATAATCTCCTAGCTGTCTTTCAGGCCAATTAAGTTGACAGGATGAACTGTCACATCTTGTAAGCTTGCTTGATTTCTTCCTTGCTTCATACAAGCAGGGACTTTGCTTGTGATTTCTTTCTTCCATAAGTCTGGCAGTATAAGTGTTTGATAAATATGAAAGTTAATTGGTTAAAGTTTTAAAAATGTTCTCATACTTGGTTTTATTACACATTGGCACAAAATTCTCTAACACTTGCTAGTTTACTCATTTTTAGCAAGAATACATTCCTTTTACTCTGTTCATGTTGAAAATTAATTCTTTATCTGGTTCAGGCCATGGATAGTTTTCTAATATTTTCTTTGGGTTTTTTTTTTGTTTATTCCTACATTCCACAATTAGCTAGCATATGTTTTCTTAATTTATTGTGAATGGAATTTACTGCTTTACTAATAATTAATTAGTTTTTTAGTTTTGTCCTTGGATTTTCCATGTGAAAAGAGACTGATCATTTTTGTAGTCCTTACTAACAGAAACACTATAAGGCACTTATTAATTGGGGTGGCCCATGCCATTAGATATATCTGTTTTAATAGTACAGGCATAGGTCTAATTAAAGCAAACAGTAGGTTGAAGCTCCAAGTAGAGTGAGTGATGAGGGAGGGCCAGCTGTTAAAGGGACTTTTGCTCATGGCAGAAGTAGAATATATTTAATGGAGGGTTGAAAAATAGGGACTCATTGGAGCTCAGTTGCTAGAGTAGATGTGTGTTTTACAATAAGACTGATAGCTTTTAAAACAACAGGGAGAGAAGAGTATAAGTGGGTTATCTGATAACCTCCCATGTATCTATTAAAAACAAGGGGAAGTAGAGCAAGCAGTATTTATCTTTTGGAAAGCTTTGAAAGGCAAGTAGAAAATCACTTTTTAGGTATTTATGGAGTGCTTACTCCATGCCCAGTGTAGAATTGTTTTCTTTTGAAATACTAAGGAAGTTTTGAAATCTGGTTTTCAACTAACGCGTTATGCACATGGAAGTTTAAAGAACAGTTAAGTTCTATTGTGTGGAGGGACAGGAAGGACAAACCAGAACTTCAGCTTTTAAGTTCTGTAAGAGCTATCTCTTTTCTTAGCTTTCCTGGGAAGAGACAAAGATAAACAATACATCTTCCTTACTCCATTAACAAAAGCAGGAACAAGGTATGAAGTATAGTTATGTCGTGATTCCAAGCCCTCCATCCATAGATATCATCATTTATTCATCTGGCTTTCTCATCATTTAGATTAGTAGGTATTTACTGAGTGTTTGCTATGGGCCAAAGCCGCTAGGGATGAATGAGTGTAAAACGTAACTACAGTAGGAAACCACAGTGAATCTAAAATTTATTTAGAGCGATAAGACCAATATATGTGATATGACTAGAGGTTAGTAGAAGATAACAGTTGTATAAATATTTTCATGAACAAAAAACATTAGAGATGTCAAGAAAGACTTTATGAAGGAATTGCAGCTTAATGTTGCCTATAGGGTAGATAGTTTAAGATGAGCTAGAGAGTGGGTGGTAGGAGAGTCATGTGATGAATTTATTTAGTAGACACTTATGGGGTATCTGCTGGATACTTTATATTATGCCAGGACCTGTCAGACGAGTAGGAGGAGGAACTTTCAATCTAGCAAGTAGGCATAGAGAAAAATTAGGGCCTATAGGAATTCAAGGACAAAGTAATACAACTCTTCTGTCTTAAGACTAATCATGAATGCAAACTTATAGTCAACTAAAAAGCATTTGCCTGGAGAAATTCTCTTTATTTTAAAGATCGTATTCTTACTTAGGTGTGGTAGTATGCACCTGTAATAGGAGCATTCTGGGAAGCTGAGGCAAGAGGATTGCAAGTTTGAGTCCAGCCTGAGCAATGAGACCCTGTCGCAAAATAAAAAACAAAATGTAGATCAGTATGAAGGTTCCTGGTTCAGTCCCCATTAGTGGGGGGAAAAAAATCAATTTTTTATAAAGCATATCATTAAAAAAGTTTTTAAAAATGTGAAAGATTTACTATCAATATTTCAGAAGTTCAGGGTGAATGAACTAATATTTTGAACTTTTAAAAATCTTACAAATATCATTGGAAGGAAATCTAAAAGTTGATATATACCATTAATTATATTGGAGTATAAAGGTATTTTTTTTTTCATTTTCCCATATGGGCCAGCAAGTAGAAATGTTCAATTATTAATGATATTTCAAACTTGAAAAATATTTCAACACCAATTCTAGGAACACTTAAAAGTATATTTGTGTGTGTACATGCTATACATCCTAAGTAAACTCTAGTGTCCTTTATAAGAAAAAATTTTAATCACTTAAGAAAGTTGTAGAAGTCTATCAGAGACTCCTCAGTTGTGCTATATTTATTTTTGTAAAAACAAACTTTGGCTGAACCATTTGTTTTGGCATGTCAAACAGGAAGCAGCTGTTGCTCTTACTGTTGTATGTCAGAGTTCCTGTGAGGACGTACAATGTTTCTGCTTTTTTACCTTTTACCAAATAATTCAGCCAGGCATGAGTGATTAAAAAATACAAAGAATCAAGTATTTGCAATGCATGGGCCATTAAGCTTCTAGAGAGCAGGGGACTTCCCTATGGTACTTCTGTTCCTGGCTCAGTGTCTGAAATCCTTGTTAAAAGTATGAGCATTTGTTATTACAGGATTTGTGCAAAATTTTGATATGTATTACCTTCCATAAGAAAGCAGACGTTTCTTTTCAAAATGCATTATGTCCATTGTCATTTTTACATTCTGATGCCAGAAAAGTTGATGAAAGTAGTATAGCAAGACTTCAGTTGAGTCTATGCCATTATAAGCTAGTAGCAACAACAACAACAAAAAAATGTAGTGAACGGTTGGGTAGTGTATATGCCAATATTTATCTGAGTTTTTCTTTGTCTTTTTTTTTCTAGCAGGAAGTTAGATTCCCGCAAGATGGTCTCCAAACCAAGTTCATGTTTGTTTTTTAACTAGTGTCCTTTATACAACCATAAGCTTCCATTCTTTAATTTCCTTAAGAGAGTACCTACCTACATACAATAAGTGTAGAGAGACTTTATAAACTCTCAGACCAGCGTTTTGAGAACTTGGGAAGAATGTTTTCCAAAAATTTAGATGACTCTTAACTGAAATTTAAGGGATTAGTTAAATTAAAAGAACTATTTTTTACTCCCTACAGATATCAAAATAAAGGAGCAGTCTTTGGAAAATCTAATCAAGTAAGTTCTTATTCTGAGAATGTTTACACCTATTTTAATTCCTTGAGCAAGGCAATAAATTCTACATAAATGACATAAGTTCTAAAGATCTCTGAAAAATTAGCTTTCATTAAATACTCTTCTAGAATGATAAGCAATGTGATCAAGTGGAAATATCAGTAGATTTCATAGATTCAACACTGACGACAGTGTTGTGTATTTAATTGTCTTAGTTTCTTTCTCATTGCTGAGACAAAATACTTGACATCCTAAGTTAAAGAGGGAGAAGTTTATTTTTAGCTCACAGTTGTGGAGATTTCAGTCTGCAGTGGGCTGGCGTTGCTTAGCAGCATTTGCAGAGGGACACCTAGACATCAGCCATGCCGTACTCCTCTGCCGTGCTGCCTTTGTTAATTTTTGTGTGAGTAAACACTTAAATAGAATGTTTCAGATATGTCAGCTTAAACTATATTAATAAAATTAACTTTGTCTTTTTGAAATCTTTTAATGTGAAATTAGAAATTGTATTGTGGCCTCTAAATTTTCCAATAAATAGAGCGTTTTTATTAGATAGCACTGATTTAAAGAATTGTTTTGTGAGTCTGTAAAATAGTTGATATGAACTGTTTTATACCTTACAAAAGTTAACATTTTTATTGTTATGATCATTGGGTAAAATTGGTATGCTTTTGAGGCATTCAGAAGTAACAATATTATCCAAGACTTTTCAGATCTTTACTGCTTTATTTTCCTTTTTTTAGAGGCAGAAGTACAAAAAGAAATAAGTAGTTTAAATATGGTAATAAAAGATGCTTAGTGTATGCATGTGTTTGATCCTGACCATAACCCCCGCAAAAATAGCACTACAGAACTTATCTAAGCCAGAGCTTAGACCAACTTGATGCTGACTTAAAGTTATTTTTGCCTGAGGCATCATTTTGAATAAACATTAACTTTGATATAGACATCTATCCTTAGTTGTTGGATTTTTTTTCTACCATCATTTCTGTGATATTAGAGGACAGTTAAAGTAGAATAATGTAAAAAATGTTTAAGAACCTTATCTAATGTTTTGTTGTATGGGGGCTGTCATGTGAAAACTCCAAATAGAATGTAGGCTGTGCTGATTGAGTATACCTGAGGGAGTAATTGCATTAAGAGTATGTTGTATAATTTCATGACTAAGAATGACAGCATCTAGTTTTATTCTTATAGAGGAAGGAAGATCTATGATCCGCCTCGTTACATGAGTGTAAACCAAGCAGCCCAGCAGCTTCTGGAAATTGTCCAAAATCGAAGAGAAGAAGGAGAAGAACCAGGTACTCATGACCCTCTGAGGACCCTCATATTATTCCCTAACAGCTATGCTGAGAACGGTGTATGATTTAATATCTCACACACACACACACACACACACACACACACACACACACACACACACACATCACCATTAAACCAAGACTCAGTGTTTTTGCTTTGTAGTGTTTTTCATTTTTTTCCAACTTTAACTTGAATCCCATATAGGTTTGAAGTTGTACAGAAAGAAATGGAATTCTTTATAGTAGAATTAACACATTTCTAGAAAATACAGCTTTTTTACCAATTAAATTGAGTCACATTTGATACAAGTATTAATGTATATATATTTTGATAAAATAGAGAACTTCCATTTTAGCTTTAATCAGTGGTGAAATCTGTCCTACAAAAATATATTTATTCTACTTTTTCTTCAGGGTAAAGACAAGATAATTTATTCTTACATTCCTAACAGACAGATTTTACACACATAATAAAAGGTATGATCTCAGTAAATGTATTGAGAAGTTCTTAAACCTGTCATAGTCTAACTGCCTTTTGAGTACCTAGCCTCTGATAGCAAAGATACATTAAGGATTTGTGAGTGATCATTGCATATTTTATTCTCATCAGTAAACCTTATTACATTTGTGAAACACATTGTCTGCAAGAATTTTCTGTGTTCATAACTTTGTGAAGAGTTCCTTGCATGTCTACTTTTTCTTGTATAGATCATTGTTGGGGGCGGTACTCAGGATTGAACTCAGCGTTGTTGTACCACTGCACTGCATCCCCAGCCATTTTATTTTTTATTTGAGACAGAGAGTCACCAAGTTGCCAGGCTGACATCGAACTTGTGTTTCTCTTGCCTTAACATACTGAGTAGCTTATTGCTCCATTTTGATCACTGTTCCTTCTGACAGTTTTCCCAGCTAAACAGTAAAACTGGCTATCATGGCTTTCCACATGAAAGCCCACCTGCTTTCTTCAGGGTATTCTTTTATCTTGCTTTTTAAACTCTTACTCGGCCCCAGCTTACTCTGCAGAGCCAGTTTCTACCTCATTCTTCTCTTTTATTTTTTCAAATAAACTTTAAAAAGGGGGAAAAAAAACAGTTAAAAGATCAGCATTTCACCTGTAGAACCAGAGTGAATTGTAGTAAAATTCTGAAATTAAGTAAAGTGAAAATGCCTATTTTTGTTAAGGACTCTATGGTTTACTAAATAGTCTTTTACCCATTATCTTAGCTCTCATAATTACCACTTCAGAGAGATAATATTATATTTTTTTAAATGAGAAAACTAAACTTGGACACTTAGCTAATTTCACAGGCAAGCATAAACTCAAATCCATGTATTTATCCCATAGCCCCAAAGTTTTTTGAGAATATCTTGGTCAACCTAAACATATCTCAAAAATTTTTAAATCTAATTTTATTTTATATATTTATTTATTTTGAATTTTTGAGACAGACAGGGTGTACATAGTTCAAGGTGGCCTCAGCCTCCTGAATGTTAACATTACAACATGCTCTACCATGCCCAGCTTCAAGAATTTATTACAAATATAAATATGTTATAAGACAAATACAGTGCAGTTATAAGGACTATGGTTATAGCTATTATTTACCAGGTCCTTAAAAACCTAGATTCATGTAAGCCTTTGGCATTTTCAAAGGATAAAGTAATTGGTTTGTAGTGAATGACGAAAGAATTTAAAGATATCTGAGGCTTTTGTAAGGTGTGGTAGCACACATCTGTAATTCCATCACTTAGAAGGCTGAGGCCAGAAGATTACTCTTTGTTTTAGGCCAACTTTGAGTTTTTCTTTGTTTGAGGCCAGCTTGAGCTACATAGTGAAATTATGACTAGCCTAAACTACACAGCAAGATCCTGTCTCAAAAAAGAAAAGAAAAGGATGGGACTTTCAAAACTAAATGTGTGGTACTAATGTTTTTGAATATTGAACAGATATTGTATTTGCTGAATTGACTGCTGTAATCTTTTTTTTTTTTTTTTATAGCAATCACTGAGGACACACTTTGTGTTGGCTTAGCCAGGGTTGGAACTGAGGACCAGAAGATTGCAGCAGGCACTTTACAGCAGATGTGTACAGTGGACTTGGGAGGACCATTGCATTCCCTGATTATCACAGGAGGCAGCATGCATCCACTGGAGAAGGAGATGCTAAGTCTGTTTTCCATATCAGAACAACCTTGATGGACTCTGAACATGGACATTCTCTATGGTCAAATTTCAGTCATATATGGATGTACATGTATTTGTATGACAAATGAAACAGGTCTTTTTGGTTTGTCTAAAAGTAATAATAATAACAAGTGACTAAAAAGAAGAGTTGCCTCAACAGTGCTTGGTTTCCTGCAACATTGAGTTTTTTCCCTATGATATCATCAGTTGTGTTGCTTTGGCAACTTTTCAGGATGTACAGGCATAAAGCAGACCAAGCTGGAAACCTTGTGGGTAAGTGTCCACAGACAGAATCACTTAAAAGCAATTTTTATTTATGAAACCAGTTAATACGAAGTGGTTGGTGCAGAGTATAACTTAGAGGTAACTAGAATGTGAATCACCTAAATCCTGCTTTTAAAGGTTAAGAAATGTAGCAATGGCCATAGAAGCAAGTGAAAGATTGGTAACCATTCATATGTTGTTTTTATAACTTTCTTCGACAAAAAGTTAGCTGTCCTAACTACAAGGTGAGTTTTCCCAACAGAGCCGGTATTGGGAGTTAGTAACAGAAATGAGAATACATTTCCACCTTATCCCACCTGCTTACCTTAAAGCCTGAGCAAGTACAAGCTTCAAAATGACACTCTTCTGAACTGATTGTATTGGTTAGCTGACATCCTAGTTATGTGACCCATTCTGCTGTATTTTGGCAGTTATATACTTACTTAATTATAAATATTCAGCCAGCCATGTACAGTTGCTGCTTTGTTTTAAATAACATCTTTCCACATTCAGGCAGGTATATGGAAGCTTGCTGACTACAAAATAAAATTTTTAAAATATTGGTTTGAAGACAATAGATTGATCAAAATTTTTCATATCATTTAATTCAGTTAATGTGCCATCATTTATGTGAGTAATCTCACTAGTTTTAAATAACATTTATTTCATGACCATAGTTTAATATTTTTTGTCAATTTGGAATAAAAATAGCTTTGCTGCATGCTAGTTCAGTTAGTCAAATTCTGAGTATATCTGTCACCCTAATCAATTTGACTTCTTTGCTTAGTTGTCGGAGAAGTTCAAGCCTGGCTGGGTGAGGTGCACTGCACTCCTGTCTCCTGAGCTAACTCGGAGACCTTGCTAAGGCTGAGCTAACTCGCCTAAGAGCGCAGATGCTGGGTCCAACAGGCTACACCTCCGCCCCTAGTCCATGACTCCTTTGCCTCGCCCAAGGAAAATCACTCCACGATGCCTCCAATAAGATATTGCCAAATGTTAAATGCTCCTCCCCCATGGTTGTCCCTATACAAGCCTGTGCATTTCCTGAATAAAGCGGAAGTGTTCCAGAAACCTCCCCAGAGCCTGCCTGGTGATTCTGTGCCTTACCCTCCCAGTCTGAGCTCCCAAACCTTGTTCTCTGGGTGGGCTTGTGGACAACAACACTTAGTAAATGTGTTGAAAATTGAAGAAAAATTTCCCTTCTTCCTAGTATTAGTGAACTAGAAATTATTTTTACTTCTTTTGGGATAAAAGATTTTGAAATATGTCATTTTTAGTTTGCTGAGTAAAAAAGGAGAACACTACATACTTTTTAGTCAGTTCTACAATTTCTTCTAAGGCATTAAACTAAACACTTAAAAATTGTAAAACAAAGATCTTCTGGCTTTGGTAATGTTGTGTAGCTTGTAATGTACAAACCTTCCCAGTTATGAACTCTGAACAGAATATAATCAGTTACTTTCTAACACACTAGGGATTCCCCAAAAGCAGGCTGAGAACTTTGCAAACACAACTTTTCCCCTCAAGACATTTCCAAGTTTCTGGTGAAAACTGAGACCTTGAGAGGAAGTTGCAGTCTTACTGGCTTGAGGTTTTAGAGGATAAATTAGGAAACTGACATTAAGAGATCTTAGAAATCAAGGTGCCAAAGAAGATGCCAGACCTGTATATCTCTCCTTCAACTTTTCGCCAACTCCTAGACTCTGCATATGCAGGGAAGACTTCATAATCCCCGGTGGAAGCCATAGCTGGAAGGCTGAAGAAGCAGAGCAGAAATTGCTCTCCATTCCAAGAGAAGACGTTTTCCACTTTGAATTTTGACATGTTAGAAGGGCTTTTTAACAACTTGGATTATCCATCAAAACACCAGAATGGACTTGTTAAGAAAGACTGGGCCCAGGACCAGAGATTTATATTAAAACTCAGGATAAAACCTTTAACATCATATAAAATGAAATCTCCAGAAAGTCAAGGTGATTAGCCAGTAAAATTTAAGCCTGTAATAATTTAGCCATTTAGAATAAAGCTTAACATTCCACAGTGATTTTTAAAAATTAGTCTCTATAACATGTCAACAGTAATCAGAGACAAAAAAATAATGATATGCCTTTATGATTTAAAAAAGGTAATAGAGACCATAATATAACCTAGACATTAGAATTAGTAGATCAGGATTTTGAAGCAGCTGTTGCAACTGTGTTCATAGGTTTTAACACAAAGATGACTTTAATGAATGAGTGTAAGTACTCTCAGTAAAAAAATGGAAACTTAATAAAAATAAAAAAGAATCAAATCATTACAAATAGTACCAGAGTACAGATGTCAGAGAAACTGTCCATCTGAGGAAGCAAGAAGAAAAGAAAGGAGGGAAAAAGCCTGAATATGTGGGGCAATATCAAACAATTTGACATATATGTAATTACAGGGTTCCCAGAAAGAAAAAGGAAATACGACAAAAATATGAATAGAAGGTAATACCTCCTTGACTTGGTGAAACTATCAATGTATATAGATTGAATAAGTTCAGTGACTCCCGGGAAGAATAAATACAAAGTAAGCCGTACCTACCTAACGTGTTCACAACAGGGCCATTCTTACGTCTCACTGCCAGGTGGCTTCACCAGTGGTATATGCATGACTGTCCCATTGGGTGGCTTTTTATTAATTGTATTCGTAAGAAGATGGATAAAGTGATTAGATCCCTTTGTACCACCAGTGGTACAAGCCACCCAATGGAACAATCATGTATGTACCACTCTCTGGTGGTTCAGGCTGGCGGGAATGTGCTAAAACTGGTGAAAACTAAAGACAAAGTTGTAAAATCTACCAAGGGCAGTAGTAGGGAGCTTACCAAATTTTTCTTTGAAATTAAAATCTCATCTAGGTGTCTTTGTTTTTTGCAAAATCTGGTAAACTTATCATGTATGCAATTTAACCTCAGTATAAATAAAAACTGCATTATTCATCAGCAGGAAAAGGTTGAACAGTATTGTTTTCAGTCGCCTGAAATCCCAGGGTTTTGCAATTGAAGAGGAATGCTTGAAGGCTACACGCATTTGTTTAGTAGTTTTTAGTTCTTTAATAGTTACTTTGCATTTTTGGTACTAGAGGTTGAATCCAGGACCTCATGTATGCTAGATAGGTTCTTTACTACTGAGTTGTATTTCCAATCCTTCTCCCGTGTTTTCAACCAGAAGTTTTATAGCTGTACATTTTATACTTACCTGTAATGCAGTTTTAGTTCTCTGTATGAAGGGTGAAGTTTAGGTTCAGTTTCATTTGTTTCTTTTATGTACTGTGGATATCCAGTTGCTCCAGCATTATTTGATAAAATGACTATTCTTGCTTCATTGAATTATGTCAGTCTACTTCTGTAATCTTTTTGATGTTTTGTTGATCTTTGTTTCTCTCTGTATTAATACATTGTCCTGATTATTTTAGCCTTATAATAAATCTTAAAAGCAGTATAACTCCTTTGTTTTTAAAATTGCCCACTTGTTCTCCTTTCCATAAAAATGTAAGAATGACCTTGTTATGTACAAAAGAGTTGGTGAGGTTTTTATTAGAAATCTTTGAAATAAAAAAGAAATCTTTGATATAGTATAGATTTGTAGGAGTTTATCCTATCTGTGGTTTTCTTAGCTTCTTGAATCTGTAGATGTATGTGACTGTTTGGGAAGTTGCTATGCATTCTTTTATTTTTGTTTTTTTGAATTATATTCATTTTGGAACTCCAATAATAAAAATGTTAGATAATTCTTGTCCTACAGGTCCCTATGCTCTGTTCATTATTATTTTGTTCGGTGTTCAGGGTTTTACACAGTGGATAATTTGTATTGTTCTCTCTTCAAGTTCATTGACTCCTGCTTCCACCAAGTCCATTTAATATGCTGAAAATTTTGGTTATTCTAATATTTCCATTTGCTTCTTTTTTATATCTCCTATATTTTATCTTTTAACATTTGTGCAAGATTATTTGTAGTTGCTTATTTGAGCATTTTATTTTTTTATTTTTGTGGTACGGGGGATTGAACTCAGGCTCTGGTGCTCACAAGGCAGGCAGTGCACCCACTGAGCCAAATCCCCCGCCCCGATTTGAGCATTTTATAGTGGCTGCTTTAAGATTTTTATTACATAATTACAACATCAATGTCGTCTAAGTCTGGGCATTTGTTGATTGACTTTCTTCTCCAAGTTGAAATTTTTGTAATACTTTGTCAACTAATTTTGGGTTGTAATTTGGACATTTTGAATTTTATGTATAGACTGAACCTTGTTTAAATTCTAGGGCAAAGTCAGACTTTTAGTTGTAGTAGGCAGTCAACCTGTAAGGATGTAATTACCAGTCTGCCTTCTGTGAACAATGGTTCCAAGATCAGTTTTTGTGCAGGTCTCTCTGGATCTATCTTGGATTTGTGTCACTCAATCTGAAGCTTAGGTAGTATTCTGTTGGATAGTGTGGTCCTTGAGGTTTTTGGTGTGTTAAGTATGGTCACATCCAGACACATTCATGATTTCAGGGTGATCTTCATGTTCATAAACACTTTTATTAGATTGCTCTCCAGGGCTTCTTCCCTTCCCAATCTCTGCACTAATTCCTGATTCTCTGGCCTCCCTTGTCCATTTGTCTTTCGGAAAGAAACTTGAGGGTTCTAGTTACTGTATTGCATTGCTTGCTGTTTCATATTTTCACAGTTGGCCTAGGTTCTGACCCATGTGAGTCACATACTCTATTTGGAGCCACAGTTCTACCCATCAGAATGTTGAACTTTCTTAAAGTTGAAGCTTCTGTAGGTTTCCATGGATACTGGCCACCAGAAAGGGATTGCCTGGGGGAAGTCTTGGGAACCAATAGCTCTAATGAATGTAATCACAAATGTGTTAACCTTGTGTTGATGTCTAGAAGACAGTGTGGCCTGTATATTAATTATTGCTCAAGGGGAGGTAGGACAGGACACAATGGAACAGATGAGCCCTGTGAAGCTGAACACTGTGATCTACCTTACTGCAGAGTGGGAAACCAGTAATGCCTAACACACCCTTCTCATTTATACTTTTAGAAGTGATTAGCACATTTTCAAAAGTCCACATGGAATGTTGTAATTGCTTTGAAGCAGATCAGTGCTTATATGTGAATCTGAATTCGTTTGCTCTTAAAATGCTGTGGTTTTAAAATAGCTGTCAAAATTCAGTAAGAAATTTTTTGTTTTGTATGATGTAATCCTTTAGCTTTAGCACTGGCTGGTTTATATAAAGAATATAGTTCATTTAAAAAATCCACACAGAACCATTTTTCAAACAAGATTTAAACTTATTAAAAAGCACAGTTCATTTTTTTTTCAATGAGTTTTGTTTGCCTACTATCCCAGGCACTGTGCATCCAGTATCCTTCTTGAATACAGGAATTTAACAAATAAAGTCGAAACGTACATTTGAATGTTGTAACGTGCTGAGCCTGAGCATTAGTTTGTTTATAGGTAGGTCTAGATGCACACTAACAGAGTGCTTGAATGGGCTAAAATCCTGTTAAAGTGCTATTCCTCCCTTTGCATGGATAGAATGAAAAATAGTCGCTGTCATCCTGTTCACATTTGTTCACTTCCCTGTTTTTGCTGTTTCTCTGGTCTAGGCTAATGAAAAGATTGCTTAGTATCCATCAAGGCAACTGACTAGCAGGCAAAGAAAGGCACTAAGCGTTGCCAGAGATTTTCAGAGCAAGTTGTACTTGATAAGCGTTAAGGACCCCCTCAAGGTCCTGAGTGGGATGACTGAAAATGGACACTGGGAAGCTTAGTCTGTCAGGGTGATTTGTTGGTACAGTGTTGTCAGCAACTTGCTTAAACCTGTGAGTCAACAGAGGTGCTGCTCGGAGGAGGTGTCTATAAGGCTGCTATAGACTGGGTGAGAAGCTAATTCCAAAAAACACAGGAAATGCAGGGAGTCCCTGGCAGGTGCTGGAGACCTAAGAAGTCAAAGTGCAGCTTACAGCAGGGCCAGCCCAAGGCAGTCAGGAAGCCAGGGTAAGCAACTGCTTAAAAGGTCTGGGGAAAAGTCAGATTCAGCAGAAATTCCTTTTCCTCCCTGCCAAGGCCAGAATTGTTTTTGTATGGGGAGTGATGTCGGTCTGCAGTGGAAGTGACTTAAATCGGCATGGAATAGATGAGAAGCAGGCAGTTCCCAAAGGTGACTGTTTGCAGTCATCAGGGAGGTTCTGGAATAGGGCAGTGGGCTTGGGAAAGGTAATTAAGAGTCCAAAGAAAGGGATGCTTTGGTCAGGAAAGGGATTCTGGAAAAAGGTGGCAAAGACAATGTTTAGATTTCTGAGAATTCTGTAAAGAATTTGAACAAACTACTGGAAGAGATTTGAGTGGAAAGAAATTTTTTCTTTACTTTGAATGTGTTGCTTGTGCTTTTTTTTTTTTTTGTATTGCTTTTCATTTTGTTTGAGACAGGGCCTCACTATGTAGTTGAGACTGACCTGGAACTCACTATGTAGCCCAGGCTGGTCTCGAACTCACAGCGATCCTCCTGACTCAGCCTCCCGAGCGCTGGGATTACTGGCATGCACCACCATGCCTGGCTTTGTATTGCTTTTTGAGACAGGGTCCTGCTATGTAGTTCATGCTGGCCTTGAATTCACTCTGTACCCTTGGGTGGCCTCAAGACAGCAATCCTCCTGCCTCAGCCACCCAAATGCTAAAATTACAGGTGCACCATGCCCAGCTATTGGTTGTACTTCTGCCATGGATGAGCTATGGAAGCCTCTGAGGCACTTTATATATCTGGACAAAATAGGGTATGAACCCAAACTATTAGTAGCTGTAGCAATAAAATGAAGCACATGTAACACATATGAGGAGACCAATAGCAGACATGTGGATAAAGTCCTTATTCCCCAATTTTTTGAGACAGCGTCTTGCTGTGTAGCCCAGGCCTGTCTCAAACTTGTGATCCTCCTGCCTCAGCTGACAGCTGGTATTACAGGTGTGCACAACCATGACAGGCTTGGATAAAACCTTTAGTATGAATAAGAGTGGCAGTAAAGAGGCTACTTTGACAAGAAAGAGTATCTCTGAGGAGATGGTGTGAGTGGGCCTGGGAGTTATTTTAAAAAGGAACTGTTTCTGATTAGAAGGAAAATTGTGGAAGAGACAGGCTCAAGTCAAATGCTTTAGCCCTTATTTCATATAAGACAAGATCACCCAGAGCAAACAGGTAAAGAATAACAATTTGGAGTGGACAGAAATACCTGGAAATACATTGAGACATGATTATGAGATGAATTGATGAGTAACAGCCACAGGAGGCTCTGCTCAGTGTACATTTCCAACCTCTAACAACTCTCTTGAGTCATTGTTTCCTGTCTCAGAGAATCATTCTTTTGCTTTCCTTCCTTAATATTCCTAGAATAGTGCTTACCTTTTATTCCTCTTGGCTCTCTGCAGTCTATTCCAGTAACCTCATTCAAGTATTTTTTTTCCATTTATGAAGCTGATAAGATACAATCAAGGCGAATGTTTTTAAAGAGAAATTTTATTGAAAAGAATTTTGATACAATTGTTCATGATTCTTGTAAAATACATCTGAAATTAAAATACGTATGTGAATGATGTGAAGTAGAAAGAGTGAAATACACATTACACTGGGCAAATAAGTGCTACGTTAGCCTATTCTCACCACACGAGTACAGTCTCCAGTGTGATGTTCCCATTTAGTCTTGTATAAACATTTTTAGAAATGTTTTGATACCATAACACTCACCAAACGAATCAAACCCAAACTTGATCATATGTTAAAAATCATTAAAAGCAGGGAGGTAAAGTGTTGTAGGGCTATTTAGAAGAAATGTACTAAGGAATGGATTTAACATTTTTCCATTCAGAATATTTCTATTATTAAAACTCCCATTCTGTTTATCAAACTAGAGAAAGCTGGGGGAAAATTCACAGGTGGGAAAATATCACTTAAATTGTTGCTGTTTAAGGAAAGCATTGAAATTACTGGACAGACTTTAGATATCTAGTTCTAAGCAGAAACTCCACAGAGGGTGATGCACAATATATGACCCATAAACAAAATTCAAATGCTAAAATTCACAATGAAGCCTTTTTTTTTTTTGCTAGCATAAAGTGGAAGTTCCACCATGTTAAAAATAAAATAAATTTTAAAATAAGTGAACAGAGGAAGGTCCTACTGAACTTTAGTATTTGGAGAAGAACAAGACAAAAAAGGTAAAATATATTCTAGTAATATTGAAATCACTTAATAGAGTTTTCATAGAAGCACCTTCAAGAAATACCCCTGAAAGAGTTCTGGATGATAAAACATCTGGGGATAAAATAGCAGATTACATAGGTTAAAAGTAATACATATATGGCATTTTCCAGAAAAACTAAGGAGACAATGTAATTCCTGATTTGGTTACACAAAATACAAAAATTCAAGTTACCCAGATTGCACACACCCAATTCTGCAAAATTCCTATCCAACAATATGCCAAACATAACACCTGCATATATTATTTGTATATTAGAATGAGCAGCTCACAAAGGCTACTTGAAAAAAACATAGCCAACGTGAATATAAATTCACCTACTTGTGGAAAAATGCCAAAGAAACGCTGAGGTGTTTTCTGAAATAAGTAAATTACTGGTTTTACTTCTTCCCTAACTCTTACTGCTTCCCTAATTCTACTGCTTTCTACAATGATCTGTTTAATGAATCATTTGCTGAGCGTGTCATGGGGATAAAGGAATGTACAAGACAAAGACTTTTACATCATGATCAAAATTCCAAATACTAAATATTCAAAGCTGTTGTGAAAGTATACCATAGATTTTTATTTATGAGAGATTTCTTTGCTTTGAAAAGGTATATATAAAATGCAATATAAATAAAATCCTAATTATTTTTCTTTCAACACAAAGTTCTTTGTACTTCCTGGAAAACAAGTCCCTGCTAATGTTAAGTTCAACTTCTCTGAGATGCGTGCTCAGTTTTCCATGCTGGCACAAGTACCATGTTGTGAACTGGTTCCTCTGAGAGCCAATGAAACTGTCTACATTTAAAAAAAAAAATTTTTTTTTCTTTGGTACCAGGGATCGAACTTGGGTCCTTGCACTTGTGCGGCAGGCGCCAGAACCACTGAGCTAAATCCCTGGGCCCCTTAAAGGAGCTTTCCTTTTCCATTCTTTTTTTTTGTTTTTTTGGTACTGGGGATTGAACTTGGGTCCTTGCACTTGACAGGCAGGCGGCGGAACCACTGAGCTAAATCCCCACCCCTTTAAAAATGGTTTTAATGCATAAGGAGTTCTGATTAGTCTTTTTACCCTGAACAATGGCAAAGGTAGGAAATAAGCTTAAGGGTGCAAAGAAGAAATGAGTGTAAATAGGTTATAACAACTGTTACCCCTGTGTCTTTTGCTAAGTGTTCACAGTTTTCTAGGAGAGAGTGTTTAGAACTGTTAGAACTTCTTGAAAATACCACCCCACTTTGGTGGCCCTTGGGGGTTGGACCCAGGGCCTTGTGCATAGTAGGCAAATGCTCTACTGAGTTAGCTGAATGACATACAAAATAGTCATCAGAAAAATTACTGGATTTTTAAGTCAGTGTCCTACCCTGGCTAGTTCTCCTTCAGGCATATAATTTCACATTCTCTTGACATAACAAGGGAATAAGAATTCCTTCCTCCTGTATGATGTTATAATAATTAGAAAATATATTCAGAAATACTGTCAATCATAAAATCATGCAAAACTACAAAATTCTTAATACATATGTGAGGATTAAATGTGGCAATGTGCAAAAAGCCATGACACATACTTAATACAGGTTATATATAATTTGAAGTAAAAAAAAAAATTGAAGTCAAGAAATGGGTAATCATAAACCCAAGATGCACTCATGAAAAAGTTCCACCTATTTAGCTGTTAAAGAGAATTGTACCTATCTGCCAGTACTTACTTGATAAAAACTTCATTGTCTTTGAATCTTTGACTTGATTCTATGGTAAAGATCTGAATCATCAAGGCTTCTGGCAGAAATCATATCTTGAAACAATCTTCTACTGTTAAAACTTTTAATGAATGTTTTTCAAAGGATTAAAAAAAGTCTCCCTTTCTCAAGGTTTTTGTGAGTTGGAAAATAATTGTTCAAAATTGGTGACTTAAAAAATAAGGAAATAGCCTGAAAAGTTGGAAGTAGTGTTTTGGCATCTCGAATTCTGATGCAACTTTGACCTTTATGGAATTAAAATATTTGTTCTATACAATATTTAATACCAATTTTTGCACAGGTTTGAGAATTTGAAGAGTAAGAAAGCTTTCCCCTAATAAAAAAGCCACGTTGCAAGACTGAAATGATAGGACCTATGAATTAGCCTGGTTTCTAAAAAGTATCACCTCACAGACTATAAAAAATTACAGAAACTAAAGCAGTCCTTATGATACTTGGGCAGTTAACAGAAAACAATTCACCCATGTGTTAAAAGTATCCACTGTACAAATCAAATGCCACTATCTATCATTTAAATCAGGAACTGGCTTCACAAGTTTAAAAAATTCAAAAAACAATACTAAAAAGGAATTAATCTAAACTTCATAATTAGTTATGAAAATGAGACAAAAATCCCATTTATAAAATGCCTTCATGTACCAAAAATGGAGGTCATATATCCTTTATTTACAAACAATATTTAATCCACATTTACAGAAAGGTGACTATTACATTGGAAAGAAAGCACAATAAAAACTATAGTATTGACTTGGAGTCAGAAGGGCTGAATTTTAGCCTTCGCTTTACCACGGATTGATTACCTCTATGACCTTGAGTAAGCAACAGCTTTTCTGGGCTTCCCATTTTCTCATCTGTAAACTGAGAGAACTGTCTTCTTCTAAGCATGGTCCTTGCCAAAATGTCTTCCATTATGCAATTAGTACTTTAAAAATCCCACTGTGTGTTATGTAAAAACTCACTCCCTAGTAGGTAACTTCTTATTCAAGTAGCATTTTGAGTTAATGATCTGACTGCTTTAGAGAGGTGCACAAAAATCACAGTATTTTGGTTATTGGCATATATGTGTAGGCTTTAAAGAATGCTGAAGCAGTGACATCTTATAAGACACTGTTGCATACTAATGGCACTGTTGATGGCACTAGGAACACCAACCTACAGATAACTAGATAGTGTTCTTCACACAGATGCATGCAAAGTGAGCAAAGTGAGTGCGTTGCACGTATGTAAGCCCTTCAATTAGAGCAATATAATGGATTTTTTAAAAACAACAGTATATTTCTGTTTGGGCAAGTTTACAGTAAACTTACCATGAACAACACAATTATTTTTCCAAGGGTATTTTGTCTTTTCAAATACTGGCAAATTTATACTCAGATACAGATTTTGTTTTGTAAGAGGTAGGTGAATGTTAGGAACATTCTAAATTTATTTATACCCACTATCAGGTGATGATTCTCAGTGAAATATCTACGTTAGTGATACATCTGTGCCTAAAACAATGGTAAGACAAAGTATTTCCAGGGAGAAAAGTTGTTCTTCCTCACTAATTTTTGTTTTCCTGTTGTACATACAGGTAAATTGCAAAGCATAAATGTTAATGCCAACGTGTTAAATAATATAACTTGGCAATCTCTTGGTAATATGTGCAAAATTAGTGTCACACCAAGCACTCTATGCCTTGTCAAGGAAAAAAATTCATGGATTTGTGCTAAATGAAGTGATAACCTATTTTGGCAAGCTTCACTTGGAATGGAGGGCTCAGTGAAAGGCAGAATTGGGTCTTCAAGATGCACCAGTAAATTTTACAGAGCATAACGATTATCTTCATATGTGAAATGTCAATATAGTTACATGTAATTAGTTTGTAAAGGCACACATTCAAAATCTCTGCCTCTATCTAACCTGTCATTTTCTGTAATACGCCAAAACCCACAGAATATCCCAAAGTTCTATCAGACTTGGTAGTGGTTCAAACTTCCAAATGACTACTTACTTGTAATGAAAAAGCAATACCAGTATCAGGATATGTGCTTTTGTACTTTCCCTCCTAAAAGACTTCAACATTTATTCCAATTAAACACAATTCACTGCACAGATTCTTAGTTTTAGAATGGCCAGGCAGTGAGCAAACATAGTTTTGAAAATATCTCATTTTTTAAAAAAGGAGACTATGGATACTTCATGGCAATTCACAGTAGTTCATAAAAGCATGAAGAAAATGGTGTCATTTTCTATACATATATAGATAGAATAGTTCATAAATTGTAAGACAGAAGTGGTAGAAATATACTTTAAAACTGAGGCAAAATCAACAGTGAGTTCTTCCACCTTACTAAAAAAGTGCTTTTTATTGAAATCTATAATTAGTCATTTTTACCCTGAAAGGCCTTTTCCTCAACGATTTTAAGTTTTTAAACTTAAAAAGGGTCTGTGTTATGCTCTGGGAAAATATATATCCAAATAAATATCTTTTCATAAAACACAAGGAATACTTAAGTAGAGTGTTCAAGCACTTGACATCTCAAATTGCAATTTTATTTTTCAAATATATAAGAACATAGAAAATAAATTTATGTATTTACTTCTAAGATATCTGTGGTAAGAGTTTCTACCTTACCACATTTGTTCCACACAGTTAAGAGTTCAAACTCAACCAAATCCTGCCATAGGATTCCTGAAAGCAATGGTATTTGTGTAAAGCTTAAAGAGAAAAAACATACTGTATGACTTGGCATTTGAAGAATGAAAACACAAAATAACACTGTCACAACCATTTCTGCCTGCGGTCTACAATGACTCTTCTGGTCCTTAATAAAGTGTATAAAGGTGGCAAGGAGAGCTGTAAAAAAATTTAACATATACACAGAGCTTTTACAGAAATTTGGAATTTAGCAATTTAGGTCAAAACAATTTTCCATAAATGCATTTGTAAAGTTTTGAAAACACAGTTCACAAAGTTAATTTAGTATGATTACTGAATTTGTTTTAAAAGCAAGGTAACACCTTCTTTGATGAGATAAAACAATAAAAAACTTTTCATATACCTGCACCTATGCTGAAGTACACAAAAAGACAATCTGTATACTAGCAAGAGTCTTATTTTGTACAGACTACAGAATACCCATTTTAAAAAAAATACACAACCTTTGATTTTACAATTCTATGCTGGCAAATACATTTTCTGATGCAAAGGCACTTTGAAAACCCAATATGGTTTGGTTCATAAGTTTGCAAGGTACAAACAATTTTACAAACATATGATTATACTGAAGAACGTCAACAACCGTGACATTACATATAAAACAGATTTACATTTCTTTTCTTTTTTTGTAATGAACACTGGTTTTGTGGAAATAAAAGCAGTGATTTCCAGCAGCTTCAGTGAAGACATTCCAGATGGTTGGAGGCCCACAATTTGAATTTCTCACTAGCAGGGATCAGGGGATGGGACATTTGGCATGTAATCTCCTTCCCTCCCCCATAAAAGGACAAACCAACACCCTAGAACAAAACCAGAACCTCAGAAATCAGAATGAGGAATGGCTTGAGAAGAGCTCAAAAGACAAGACCAAAAGGCCAGGAGATAACTTCTTAGTTGTGATCCCTTAGCTGCAACTTTCCCATAGAGTACTACCTGGTCTACTTGGTGCTAGGAATTCTGATGATTTCTCTAAAGCGCTGGGTACAATGTTTTAGACTGTACAGTACCAGAAGAATTTGGTCCAAAAACAGTAATTTCATTCATTACATGGCAGCAAAGTCAATCTGTACATAAAGCTGTCTCACTCCAGCCTGAAAAAAAAATTACAAAATCAATATAACAATATATTACAGTGGACACCTCAAATTCGTGGAGGTTATGTTCCTACAGCAACCTCAAATTGTGAAAAATTACATATTTCTGATATGGTCTGAAAAATGCCTATAAATGCCTATTTTTATAATTCAAGTCCTAATTATGCTGTCTTCACAGTTATGTAATTTAAAATTATATTAGTAAAGCCTTAGAAGATGCAGGGCATTTTGACGGCATCTTAGGACTTTAAGTACAAAACCTAGGATACTGGAACCACTATACAGTGGTATAGCAACCTGTTGTGATGCTGGAATGCTAGTGTATCTGCGGAAAATGGATTACAGGGCAGCAGCCAATCAGCAGCAAGGAGAACTGAGTAACACTCTTGGATTGGCTACTTGCACCCCCCCCACCACCATTACTGAGGATATTTCTGGTTTCCGTGAAATTGTGGGGTTTCCGTGGACAATAATTTTAGGTTCTCAGAAAAAATCCAATGACTGAAGCTGCAAACTCTGAACCGCGATCAGAAGGGGGTGGTAGTGGTATACTGTACACAGTTCAGAAAAGTAGTAGAAAATAAATCTTAAAAGTGGCTAGGTTATGGGCGCACAACTGCAATCCCAGGACTCAGGAGGCATGGGCAGGAGGATTGCTGGCTACCCTGGGCTACAAAGTGAGTTCAAGGACAACCTGAACTTCACAGTAAGACTCTTAAAACAAAAACCAACAGAAACAAAAAAACCTTGAAAGTGGAATTATTTTTGTCTTCCATCTCTGAGAAATAATTCATTTTTATTATGTCACTAGTAGATTACTTCAGAGACAAATACAACTGTAAGCTACAAAACCATCAAGAAAAAAAAAGGCATGCACTGGTCACATGTCCTGTGCAAGTATTAGAGAAATGGGATTCTCCATGTACCATTCTGTTAGAAGAGAATGGTTAGCTACTATTAAAATCAAGTCATCTCAGTCTAAATCTTCCCTTGATAAATGATCAACATGTATGTTTAACAAGGATAACCATTTTTGGTTAATTATTTGGCCCTTTATCTCCTCTTTCAATTTTGGATATGAAGTTGCTACTCAAGAATATTGCTCTCTACAATGTTCACTATCTCTCGTATTTATCACTTTTCCTTAACTGGATCATTTCTGCTAGTATAAAAATGTTATAATTTCTTATATCTTAAAGAATTCTTCCCTTAAGCTGCATCTTCTCCTGGTACAATTCCTGCTCTTCTGGACAGCAAACATCCTCAAAACACATGTCTGTTTTATTTGCTGTCTATAATTCCTTTTCCCTTCTCTTGAAGCCATTTCAATCAAAATCTACCTCCTAAAACATCCCCAAATTGTTTGTCAAGGACACCTCCAAGTTGCTCTTACTAGTGATCAGGTCTTAATCCTTACTAGTTAACTCATCAGAAATAATAAGGCGATCACTCCCCTGCTACACTTTTCCCAGTCTTTCACAGAATCGTCACTGGCTGCCCTTTCCCTCACTTGTCAGTTGTTCTCAATAAGCTTTGCTGGTCTTCTATCTTTTAATACTAATCAATGAAATACTCAAAGGCCCAGTCCTCAGAACGCTTCTTTTTCTGTACTTGATCTCTAAGTATTTCATCTTAGATCCAGACTTCAAGTACTATCTATATGTTGATACTTCCCAAATTTATATGTCTAGACTGATACTGACATCTATTGACAGTTCTTAGATATCTGTCAAGCATCACAACACGGCTAACCAGAACTGTTTCTGCCCCTCAAATCTGTTGATTTTATAGTCTTTTATAGATCAACTCCATCCTCAATATAGCATCCAATCCATTCACAAAATGCGTTGGCCTTACTTCCAATAAAATGCAAACCTAGAATCTGACCACGTTACCTCATCTCCATGGCTACCACCCTGGCCCTATCAATTCTTGCCTAGATTTCACAATAGCCTCTTCTCTGGTTTTCACACTTCTGCTTTGCTTTCCATGGGTCTCTTCCCAGCAGAGCAACTACAATGACATCACTCTGATCAGTCAAAAAATGCAACAGCTCAACCTCCTTATTCCTTAGAAGCTCAGAGTTCCCGTAAGGGCCTACAAAACCCCACATTACCTGCCTCCTGACTCGCATCTCAGATCTCATTGTTCACTCTTCCTTAGCTACATTAGCCTTCTGTTTGGAATTGTTTCTCAAAATACTCATATCACATTTTCTAGTTACATCCCTCCTTAGGTGTCAGCAAAGGCCCACCCTGACCACATGATATAAAATATATTTGCTTCACTAGTCCAACAAATATTTACTGTGCATTTACTGTGTCCCAGATGATATTCTGCCATGTGGAAATACAAAAGCAAGCAAAACAGATAAAAAATATTCCTGCCCCCAATTCGGTTTCTATTCTACTGCAGGCCTGAGTAGGAGGAGGAGGCAAGATGATGAATACATAAGAAAATATACTATGTCAGATATATATGCTATAAAGACAAAGTTTAGTACAGGACGAGGTAAACACCTCAAGCATCCCAGTCTTACCTTGTTCACCTTAGCAAAAACACTTATCACCTTGCATTACTTATTCACTCATTATTTGTTTTCCTACTATAGAAGAATCTCTTCAAAGAAAGTATTTTTATTTTTTTCATTCCCAACTCTCAGAACCTTAAGTAGTACCCAGCGTACATTGTGATCAATAAACAGATGGAATACAGTGAAATTCTAATTTCCCTCTTTTAACCAAAAATTATTTTCAAAATTAAAACAAATTATCAGAAAAAAAAAAAGCCTTTTGTTTTCAATACCTTAGGATGAAAGGTAAACTGGAATGTTTAAAGCAAAGGAAAAAGCCACAGTAGGTGGACTCTATTAACGCTGCCTTCTTACAGTAATTTCTAGGCTTCCCACAACACTGCTTTCTCACATGGATTTTCTTCTGGTAGGAGGGTTCTGTCATATTACCATGCCTAAAAGGAATCAGGATCTGGATCAATGGATAAAAAGCTAGACAGACCCAAGAAGCTTGTCAGACAGAAAATATACTTTAGCATTCTGTCTCATTTAATAAAAAACAAAACAAAACAAAAAAAAACCCAAAAAACCCCAATCTTCCTGTGGTAAATCAAAACCGTTGTTCAAAACAGAAAAACGTCTTTACTAGTGCCACCTTTTTGCTTAAGGGGCTTGTGGTGGAAAAAAGATACAGCTAAGTATCTATACGATCATTAGCTAAAAATTAAAACCAAATCCCAGTTTTTCTTATTTTAAAAGTATTAATAAATGCCAACACTGCTTATTTGACAGAACCATTATATAGTCATTCAATAATCAATAAGGATTAAAAAATCCTGCTACATAAGAGGCATTATTATAAGAATCACATGTGAATGTATGAGAAACGATTTCATGTTATGAAAGCTATTATAAATTATTCTGATTGATTACAATTGTATGACTTTATTAATTCAACCCAAATGGTCCCTGAAATAACTGTACTTAGGAACTGTTTTGCAAAATTCTTATATATATAATTTTAAGAGAAAACAACCTGCCCAAATAAACTGTCTTAACATCTTTTCTCTTTTTGCAAAATGTTTAATGAGAGTAAAATGGGCAAATTAAGTTGGGAACCTTTTATTGCCTTTGTCATTTAATACAGTAAAGATAGTAATAAGAAATGAAGTAGCCCAAGGCAATAAAAAAAGAAGAAAAGCAAAGGGGCTAAGATAAATTATTTTTGCATAATCATGAGTTAATTATTCAAGCTGGTATCAGTCCCCCAGGGGCAACAGCTTTCACCAAAGCTCAATCTAACCAAAAGGAAAAAGTAATTTGCTTTATCCATCTGTCCCAATGGGGACAGCTTCTTCGTCAGCTTTCCATTATCCTCTCTCAATTTCCTTCAAAGTAGAGAGAAAAGTATAATTTCCAAAAGAACCCTATGGTAAATCACTCATCACCTAAATGCAAACTAGACTGTCTATAATTTATTCACACCACAAAGACATGACAGATTTTTTCACCAGATGAAAAGTGTTTGGTTCCATCAAATAGTCTACCACTAGAATGATAACCAGGAACCAGAGGCTAGCTGAAAGGTTGTCCTTAGAATGTGAAAACAAGTCAATTTGAAGATTTCCACAATCCAAAAAAAAAAAAAGCCAACTTGGTGCCACAGCCTTAGAATACCTTCAACAAATATTCATTGTTATGGAAAGGAAAATAAATGAGAAGTTGAAAAGTTAGAAAAATAAACAGGAATATGACTCTAAAGAGTTACTGGTTTACTTGTATTCTCTATCAACCAAAAGCCATAGAAATTTTCTACTTTGAATGCCTAAATATGTATTAATCTTTATTCCTTTCCAATGAACTCCTGAAAAACTGTCTGACATGTAAGCATTTCATTGTTAGCAAGATGGTTGAGTGTATATGACTAAATTCTAAGTCAAGAACAATAACGTGGGCCTGAGTGTCATTTTCTGTAGTCCATCTCTGAGGCTCAATTAATATGTTAAGTGCCTTTCACACTACTTGGCACCTGGTGGGCTCTTCATAAATATTAGCTGCTGTTACTGTGACTGTTACTGTTATTTCTACTACTATCAGCCAACTGATGAACAACTAAATCATTTGGATTCATTTAAAAACAACAAATCTAGGGAAGTGTTGGCCTTATAGCCTGTGGCTGTTTACTCCAAGTTCTTCATTTCTGGTGGACTTCAAGTACAGAGGATGAAGAAAGTTAAAGGAAAGATGGATAAGGAAAAGTCTGTAGAGCCTGGAATCAATACTTACAAAAGATTCAAGGCCTTTACAAAGGGTGCGGGGTGCAAAGGGTGGAAAAAAATAGCAATCCATATGGAAAAGAGTAGATCCTACTTTCTGCTCTTCCCTCCAGCAGAGAGAACAAAGATGCATGAGAGACATGAAGTGATTATGAACACAGAAGAGTGACCGAGGCGGAGGGTTTCTGAGACAGAGAACTCCCATCTGGATCTGCGAAGAGGCTTTCTGGTTAGAGAGTTAACTTTTATTTTGAAGCCAGGGAACAGCACCAAAAGCCAAAGCAGGAAGCTGGAGGCTTATGACTCAGAAGGCATAATGGAGGAGAAAGGCAGAAGAGAGGAAGAGACAGAAGAGGTGGAGGTAGAAGCTCTCTGGGGGAGTATTATACATGTGGTTTGACAGACACTTTGTGCTTTGTGGAACTGAAGAGGATAATGAACCTCAAGGATATCCTAGATTTTTCTTCCAACATATTTGATTTTCCCTCAAACGTGCTTCCTTCAAACAACATTATTTCTAAAAAATTTAGGATATTTATAGTTGTGAAATGTGTTATTAAAAATTTACAAATGATATTGGCCAGTTTAAAACAAAAAACATAAAATGTTCAATTGCCTTCCTTAATCCAGTATCCTACTTTACACATATAAGCTGTAAGAAAGATGCCAGGACAGATGTGTTGGGGGGACTCCTGCAATTCCGGCACTCAGGAGGTTGCAGTAGGAGGATTGTGAGTTTGAGGTCAGCATGGGATACATAGCAAGTTCAAGGCTAGCCTGAACATTGTAAGACCCTCTCTCAAACACAAGAAAAGGGCTGGAGATTTAGCTCATCAATCCCCGGTACCCCCATCCCCCCCCAAAAAAAAAGAAAAGAAAAAAAGGAAGGAAGATTATTAACATAATAAAATATGTAGCATTACTGAAAACAATTCTTTTTTTTGGACTGTTAAGACCACCAGTATTTTAAATCTTTCTATAATAAACCACACTAATGCATTAGTGTGATATTCTTCCCCCAAAATAGAACAATTTACATTTTATTTTTTATCTGTGAAATTTATAGGGTAGAATTGAAAATTTAGAAAAATTTAAACTTGTATTTCAGGAAGTCAAATAAAAATGCTATAGCAAGCCCTGACATATATCATACCATAAGAAAATGTATTACTTGGGTATGAGCAGAAACGAAAAACAAATAAATTTTTTAAATCTCAATTTTGCATAGGTGAGAGCTAAAAAACTCATAAAACTATAAATTCATTAAATATAAGCTCAACGTCATTGGTCGGGTGCTCCCTTGCCACCCCTCTCCCCAAGGGAAAAAAATGCGTTGAACTGTCCTTTTTGTAAGCCTCAAAGGGAATCTTTGGTTTCTGAAAGGAATGAAATAAACAAAATTGCCATGACTTTGGCTCATAAAAAGGCTTAAAATATTTTTCAAGGCTTAAATATTCAAAACCTAAATGTAGTTTCCAAAACCAAAGAAGCAGCTGAATAAACTTATAACTTCAGCCATCTTAAAAGCCAAGATTGCTAAGGTTACCAGAACCTACTCTACCTATTTCCATTATGATTCCGACAGCTCCTCAGTACAGACGTTGCTCACACGTTTCTCAGCCTAGAAACTGCTTTCCATTTCAGGCGGAGAATGGTGACTCTGCCAGTGTATTAGGAGGATCAAAGGGCAGGGACGGTGAACCTTCCAATGCACGAACTGAACTGCCACCCAAAACCCACTTATTTATCACAAAGTGCCAACAGTACAACTAAACTTGAGTACCAAGGTTTTAGGTTAGGAAAAACAACTCATACATTAACATCTTTTGTCTTAAAAGAAAAACAACTTGGGTGCCATAGGGGTCACCACTGCCTAGGATATTCCAGAGGTCAGCAGAAACCAAAATTACTAGGACGCAAGAACATATTATAACCAGTGTAAACAAGAGAAAAACGACCCGGAAATGGTAATAAATAGGTAATTGCCTCTTTGTCTTCTTACCCCTAAAACTTGGAAGAGGTATGAGAAGGATTCAGACGTACTGGGAAGCTCTTGTATGCTTCATTATAGAAGTCAGAATACACAGACTTGCACATAGTGTCTGTTAAGAAAGAAACCCAGTTTCCTAAATTCTGGAATATTTATAGTACCAGCAAACTGTCATGTATGCAAGTCTTATATGCATGCCTTGATTGCACAGAAGATTAGGATTAGAGTAAATCCTAATTACACACAGGATTATGTCATTAATTCATTCCTCAAGGAATTTAATTATACATGCCCCTTTGTTAGACAAGAGATTAATTTATGCTAATATCCTGAATCTAACTAAACTATATATTATGTTCTGTCCTTCCAAGTTTGAAGACTTGATGAGGGTGGGGAGGGGAGAGAAAAGAGGCAGGGAGAAAGAGAGAGAGAGCGAGGAAGACTTAATCTTTAAGGCTTCTGAGAGAAAGTCACACAAGTGAATTGGACCACTATATTAAGCTAGGGTCTTGTCCACACAGAAAAGCAAATAGTCTGGTGGGTCTGTAGTATCAAGGACATGGCAACAAAAAGCAGGAGAAAGATTTGAAAAGTTAACTGGATCATGCTAGAATGTTTGGGTTTTATCCTGGTATAACGAGGAGCCACCACTTTTTATTTTTCAACATTATTTTGAAAAATTCTCACGTCAAAAGACTAGTACAAAAATATACTTCATCTATATTCACCTGTTGTTAATATTTTGCCACATTTGTTTTAGTAATCTCTTACATACATATTTATTTGTATTCTTTTATATTTGCTAAAAGATTTGTAAATCAGACATCCTGATACTTTATCATTGAGTTATTAACACAAATCATCTAATTCTTCTGTAAACCATAATATCATTATCATACTCAAAAGACTTATCTGTAAAATCATATTAACTATTATATAGTTCATATTCATATCTGAACAAACATGATGCTCAAAATATTTCAGATTTTAGAGCATTTTGTAGTTAAAATTTTCAAACTAGTATAGTTAACTGGTAAAGTCTGTACAAATACTATCCAAAAATTTAAAAACTATGAAATCTGAAACAGTTTTGGTCCCAAGCATCTGAGATAAGGAATATTCAACCCACAGTAAGAAAAATTCAATATTATATTAAACATTTTTTTTGGGGGGGGTGAGATAGGGTCCTGTTATATAACTGGCTTTCAACTCACTAGGTAGCCCAGGCTGGCCTCAAACTCATGGCAATTCTCCTGCCTCAGCCTCCTGAGTGCTGGGATTACAGGAATGCACCACAACACCTGAGCAACTATTAAATCACAGAGACGGCAAATCACAAAAAGAACTTCACAGTCTGCTTTTAGCTAAACTCACCCATGAAGTATTATTCTAATTCTAAATCCTAGTTTAGAATTCTTTGCTTCAACCATCATTTACCATGTTTTATACAGCAGGAAGTAAAGGAGAATCCTATTTTTCTTGAAGGAAAACACATCAGTATGAGTAAACTGGAATTACATTCCATAAGAACACTGCCTGAAGATCTCCCATATTTGACAATAATTGGGGGGAAAAGTAGTGTTATGCTTTCTTTATAGTGCAGTGGCCCATATATTTAGCATATGAAATAATAGTTTTAGAAACAGTTGATTCAATAAATTTTAAGACTCTTAAAAGAAGCCAGTAACAAAATCATACCTGAGTAAAAATATTATGCGTTTGGCTTAAAATCCACCTAGCATCAGCATCAGGTGCTACTACTAATTTTACAGTCCCAACATAAACATCGGAACATAAAGTCCAGAAGTGTTGTTCTTGTAAACTGTAAACTCCCTGTAACTCCTGCACCTGAAAAAAAAAGGGAAGATATTATCATCAAAATCAAGTGAAGTATAAAGTGCCCACTCCTTAAATTATTATGCAACATATTTGTAAACACGTAATCTACCCTCTGGGTAAAAATGGAGAGGAAAATGTTTGAGTTGAAAGATATGTATGGAATACTGATGTGCGAGGTGACACCATGACAAGACACAATTAAATAAAATACAAAATGAAAACAGAAAATAACAGATTTTTTAAAAACTATAAATGGGAATCCTATGAATACAAGCAGAATCCTATGAACAATACTGAATGATCAATATATGAATGTACAAAGTACTACAACTAAGTAGAACCCAAAGTCTCACTGAGACCTCCACTGATCAGCCTAATCCAAAAGTAGCCCAGCGTATCTCTAGTCTAGGAGACTAGACTTAATAGTTCTTTCTAATTCTAGCCTTGTACTTCCATCTATTCTCAAAACAGTAGTCCAAGTGAGATCCCATTAGTGTGGATCAGATGCTACTATTCTTCTCATCAAAATTTTCCAATGGCTTCCTGTCTTCCTCTGAGTTCAAACAATAATTTTACAATGATTTACATGGGGTCATGGGGCCTGGGCCCCTTTGTCCTTATTGACCTCATCTCTTCCTAGTCTTCCTTTCTGTCTCTTTCATCAGCTATTCCAGCCTCCCTTTCATTCTTTTAAAAACCGGCACATTCCTGACTCAGGGTTCTCACTATTCCCTCTGCCCGGAGGATACTTTCCATATTTCTATATAGCCCATCTTGAGTCTTTACACAAATGTCAGTAAACCTTTCTTGTATCTGGCACATAATATTACACAGCATTCACACATTCATTCATACTACAGGTTAAACATTCCTAATCCAAAAAAGTGATGGGTCACAGTCAAAATACAGGTGTATTAAAAATACTGTATAAAATTCCCTTTAGGCTATGTGCATAGGGTATAATAAACACTAGTAAATTTTACAGTTAAGACTTTGGTCCACACCTAAGATCTGTTACAAAAATTAAAAAAAAAAAAATCCAATCCAAAACACATCTCTCAAGGACTTTTGATAAGAGATACTCAACCTGTTCTTTTTTTTCTTTCTTTTTTTTGCGAATCAGGCTCCAGAACCACTGAGCTAAATTCCCAGCCCTCAAACTCTTCTTACACTGCTTATTGTCCGCTCCAGCAGCAGTTAAACTCAATAAGGTCAAGGACTTACTTGGATTTTCAATTTTCAGTTCTTAATACAGTAACTGACCTAGGTAAGTACTCAGTAAACAGTAATATTTATTAAATTAATAAGACTGTAATTTAAAAAACCTACACAGAATGGACACATTTCTTGACATACAGGAAATGTGCTAAGAGAAAGCAAAGAAAATGTGAAAGTGAAAGGAACATTAAAAACTAAATTGGTCACCAAACTCTTTTCAAGGTGATATGACTATCTTACTTTTTTCAGAAAACAGAAAATAGCTACTCCTTGTATTGCTAAGAAAAAACATTGACCCTCATAGTAAATAGACAATAAACTATAAGCTAATTTATCTTGTGGATTAATAAGCTAAATCTAACAATGTAATGACTCAGTATAAGTCATTAGTCATAACATGTAATGACTAAGTTGAGTTTATCTGAAGAGGGAAAGAAAGGTTTAACATTAGAAAAATCAAAGTTATTCTTCAGTTAATGAAGTAAAAGAAAAAAATCATAGTCATTTCATTAAATGTACTGTAATGACAATAATTTTCAATTATGATTAGAAGGATATCTCTCTAAGAGGTTACCTAGCAAAAACCTTCAGAAAATATTTAAGAACAAAATCTTAGATGGATTCCCTTGAAGATTAGGAAAAAGGTGAAGATGTCCAAATCACTGCTACTGTTCATTTCTTTGTGGACCTGGAGAAACTGAATTAAAATCAGTACTTACTGAGAAGTTGAAAATAAGGTCAATATGAAAAGATCTTTAGACAAATACAACAGTATTAAAAAAAGAAAGGATTGGGAGTGTAGCTCAATGGCAAACTATGTACAAGGCCTTGGTTAAATCCCAACACCCAAAAAAAACAAAAGAGAGAGAGAAAAGAAAGAAGGGTAAACAGGGAGGAAAGGGGACTGGGGATTTAGCTCAGTGGTTCCACCATCTGCCTCTCAAGTGCAAGGACTCAAGTTCAATCCCTGGTACCAAAAAAAATAAATAAAAAGAGCGAGGAAGGGATGTAAGAAGGGTGGGTTACAAAGAGGGAGGGGGAGAGAAAGGGGGAGGAAGAAAAAGAAGGTACTCCATGAATGGGTTATTATCACTGGAAATCATTAAGAGGCTGCACGACTAACCAGGTATCATAGTGGAGATTCTTGCAGCAGGCAAAAAATTCTGAACCAAATGAACAGAAGATCCTTTTCAATTCTGAGATTCTTATGTAATATACTTGGGATGTTAACTAAAAAAGTTTAATCTTAAATATATCAAAAAGTTGTTTTATAATTTGAGAAATTCAGATATTACTTTCTAAAAACTCTGATAGAAGATTTAAGACAATATCCTCTTTTTCTTCTTTTTTAAAATGGAAAAAAGAGATCAAAGTTGATTTTGTCTTCTTTTAGAACCCTGGTAACACAGTGGTTTCTTTTTCATTGTTGTTTTGAGATAGGGTCTTCCTGTGCCACCCAGATTGGCCTTGAATTAATGAGGTTCCATTTGACCCAACTATTCCCCTTCTCAGTATTTTCCTGAAAGAGTTAAAAGCACCATACCACAGCGATATATGCCACCATGTTTATAGCAGAACAATCTGTAGTAGCTAAATCATAGAATGCCTATCAAGAGATAAATGGACAGAAAAAATGTGGTTTATAAATACAATGGAATACTACATTGCCATAAAGAAAAAGACAAACTTCAGACAATTTTAGATAAATGGATGCACCTTTAGACCGTACTTTTAAGTAGAATTTTTTCTTTACATGGAGAAAACAGTATTTTAAAAACATAAGATATAACCACTCTAATGGAACATGCCTGTAATCCCAGCATTTAGGAAGCCAAGGCAGGAGAATCGCTGTGAATTCAGAATAGCCTGAGCTACATAGTGAGACCCTGTCTCTAAAAGCCAAAACATAAATGAGTGAATAAAAAAATAAATATTAAATTAAATACATGAACATCAAAATATAAGATGTGAGCCAGATGTGGTGGTACACACCTATACTCCCAGCACGGGAGACTGAGAAACAAGGATCAAGCATCACCATGCTACATGGGGAGTTCAAGATCTACTTGAACCACATAGTGAGACCCTCTCTCTCTCTCTCAAAAAACAAACAAAAAAATATGACCTTACTGCCTTAAAGCTTTCCAAAGCTCCCCACTGAATTCAAGTTAAATCTGAGCTGAATTCTTAGTATGACCAACTGTCTCCTCTCCAAACTATCAAGCCACCCTGCCCTTTGCTTATATGTCAGTCACAATGGGCTTTTTATTCTCTAAATATACTAAATTAGTTCCAGAATGGTTTTGCATTAGAGTTTTCCTTTGCCTGAAGCATTCTTCTCCCAGATTTGTAATTGTTTGGCTCCTTGGCATCAAAACTTCAGTTTCCTTGACTGCAACTTCTTCAGTCAATACAGGATGGCTATACATGTCTCTCAGTTATCTTTCATCTTATTTCTTTTGTAATAGTTATCAATGATACTTTCTTACTTATCAACTTGCTGTTTAGTGTGTGTGTTTCCTCAACAGACTGTAAACTCTGTGACAATAGAGACCTTGTCTGTTTCATTTACCATTATTATATCCCTAATATAATTAGATAAGCTTCTGGTATACAGTGAGAACTAAAAAAAAAAAACATTGAATAAAAAGTTATTTCATCTGCTGTTTATATGCTATGGTATAAAAGAAATGCTCAATCTCCACATGAGGACAATTTCTGCCACATTTTCTTTACTAAGTTCAGTATTTTCCAGTGATTTTTTTTCTGGTTTATATAAACGGTATTCATGGTCAGCATTCAATCCTGGAAGAAATACTAAATTATACACAAATGCTACCCATATTTATGAAAGTTGAAAACCCTAACAGTTTGGAAACAACATAAAATGCAATGGTTTGGAGGCTTTGAAACTTACCCTCTGATAGCAGTGAGGCAAAGTATTTTCCAACATGGGAGGAGTTCTCTGCATTAATATTCCAACAGACTCTTTTAAAAGAGGAATAACACTAAAGAAAAGAAAGGCAAATTTGTTAAAGGGATATTCTAATAATCCCAATTTGTAAAACAGTAATAATGTACTTCTCTATAGTAGAACAGAGTAACTTTTATCAGAATAATATCAGGAAAAAGAATTCACCAGTCACTTCCAAATTTTTCATGTCATAAGTTATTATTTAAAGTAAAAGGGCCAGAAAATATATACAAATGCATAAAAGACTAAACATAAAATCGAATACGAATTGATCATCTAAATATCTAAAGATGGTATGATTTCAACCAAGATAAACATTAGCCCCCCCCCAATATTTGCATCCATTTAATTAATACTGAATATACAAAAAACTAATGCCAGTCATTTAGTCCAGTATTTCTCAAACCTGGTTACTTGTCTTATTTGTCTTGTCATATTTTATTACTTGAAGAAATAGAGAAATTCAGCTATATCTATAGATGTAGTAAACTCAACAGCTCTGCAATAGGGAACAAAAGTCTGTATGGGTTAATGTGACTGGTCTTCAACCATCATCTCAAACCACTGCTGTAGGCAGTACATAAAGCAATTCCAGTAACAGTACAAGGGTGAGAGGAAGCCAAATGCAATGACTTTGTAACCTAGCTAGATATAAATTCACCTTAGTCTTGCTTTGTTTGTATTTAACAAACTCTGTCATAATCTTTGAGGGAGGGTCCAGGCATCTAAACTCTGCACGATTCCAGTGAGTCAGGGTTATAACACACTGTTCTGCTGCTTGCATGGCAAAGAAGGAAGGTCAGAAATACCTTCATTATATTTGAGCCAGTGCTGACTTTTAAAGTATCTCAAAATATCTAAAGGAAAATTCTCTAATAACAGCTGTAGGAAGTAACACATGTATCTCAAGGGATGACTCAGAGAAGAACAGAAGCTGAAGTGTAGCTTAGAGTTATTTCTGACAGATGGGAAGGAGAGAAAAGATACTAATGAAGACCAAAAGGAACAGAGATAATATTTGTCTTGCTTATTAGCATATTCCCAAGGATGCCTAAAAAGTGCTGGCCACACAGAAGGCCTATTGTAACTGTTGACTGAATGAATAAAGATAAATGGATGTCAGTTATTTTAGAATCTGGATTAAAGAAAAGAACACAGGAAAAGGATCTGAGGTCCATTTCTATACTTTAAATATAAAGTGATAAATATATGGATAAGAAAGGATAAAAATAAAAACAGGACAATTAAATAGAGAAAGAACTGGTTTCTAGCTGAATATTATGAAAGACAGGGAGAGCTATGTGTAGGACAAACCTCGATTACTAAAAGTATGGTGGGATGGGCATTATGAAGATGTAAAGTTCAAGGTGGACAAGTTTCACTAATAGTTAAATGAGGATATTCTTAAATAATGATTTAAGAGTCAAGAATAATGTATTTTTTTATTCAATTATAAAAATGTACAAACAAACAAACAAAAAAACTGAAAAAGCCCAGGTTTAGTGGCACAGGCCTGTAATCCCAACACTTGGGAGGCTGAAGCAAGAGGATTATTGCAAGTTCGAGGCCAGCCTGAACTACATAGCAAGACCCCATCCCCCGCAAAAAAAAAAGTAGACAAACTATCTGGAATACCAGAATACAAAATTATATTTGGTAATAAAAAATATATAAAATTGTTTTTCTGTACTAAAATAGGCACTATTTCATCAAGATATACTTGGAAAACCACCAATTTACTCCATCACCAGTTAAGTAATACCACAAATGAACGTTATTAAACAATCAATACAAAGCAAACAATTACTAAACAGCTGCTATATCCTTTTCACATTTTCTAGAACCAAATGTAAATTTACTCTAGACTTGTAGAAACAGAGCATGACATGACTGCAGCCCTCTTGAGTTGTAAGTGCCATGATCATCTCAAGTAACCTTAGCTGATTTTCTTGCGGTTTAGGAGCAAATCATGAATAGATAAAGCCATCTGAGTCACACATGAGGCTGCACAATTGGATTCTGGCTCCAGGGATGGATCTGACTCTTCGATATAATTTTTTCTTTTCTTTTCTTTCTTTTTTTTGGAGGAAAGGTTTATTTCAGCACACAGTTTGTAGAGATTTCAGTTTCTAGTTGGCTGGCTCCAAGCATGGCAAAAGGGGCATCACAGAGGAGAAACAATTCATGCATGTCAGGCAGGAAGGTAGCAAGAAGCAGCAGCAGCAAGCCTGCTTTCTTTCTGTCCCTTTACATTCCATCCAGACTATAAGCCTGTTGATTGGTGACACCCACACCCATCCCCAGCATGGAGCTTCCATTACCCATATCCTTAATCCCAGTATCACACCCTTAATCCATATCCACACACTCTAATTTAGCCACCTTCTTCAAAACTACCACCTATGAGTGCATAAAGGCTTTGGGGGAACATTTAGCTACAAACCCTGGTCCCCAAAAGCCTCATACACATCCCTCTATACAAAATGCATTTAGCCCATCTCTAAGAGTTGCCAAAGTCCTACAAACCAGGAACACTGGAATACAGTGATGTGAGAAGAAAGACAGAAGTGGGTTCCTGGGACCCAGGAAGGAGATGAAGCAAGAACGGAAGACCATGCGGAGAGCAAGGAGAGAGATTTCAATGAAGAGGAGGGAGGTAACAAGCAGCACTTTCTTCCAGAGCCCAGACTCACAGCAAGTCAAACCTGCTGACAAACAGTGACTACTGTTGACCCTAGGGGCCCTGATGGAGAAACGTAGCAGTTTCTCCATGGAGAAACGTATAGTAGCAGCAGACTATAGTTGCTGGTGAGTTATTTGAACCATCTTGTACAGGGACCAATTGACCTTGGAACTCAGAACAGCTACAGGGTGACTCCATCTAGTTGCTTCTGGTGTCTCAGTGAGAGTGTGAGTTCAAGTCAGCAAGAGGTCAGGTAGTATAGTTCAAGCTGACAGGGAACCAAGTTCAAGTTGGCAGGAGGCACACAGACCGCTGCAGGCTCAACAAATCTGATTCCAGTCTCATAGCCAGAGACCAGCTTGAGATTCGGCTGGCTGGGATTATCCATTATCCTACCATAAAGCTACGGCTGGCTTGCTGGGATTAATTAACAGATCTGGACTTTGTGCCCATGCTGTCTACCAGTGATAGCAGAGACCCATTTTTTTTTCTTTTTCCTTCATGTTTGGCTTTTGTTCTTGTTTTGTTACGTTTTTTCCTGATTGTTTGAACATGGGTTATGGCTTATGTTGTTGTTCTGTACTTGTTTTTATTGTTTCCTTTCTCTTTCCCTCCTGTCTTCTTGAACAGTTTCGCAAAGTCTATATGATCTTCCTTTGTCCTTCAGTCTTGCTTCTAATCTCTTCCTATTCTTCTATTTCTCCATTTTTCCCCATCCCCTTTTAAATCTTCTCCCCTAAGGGTAAAAATCACCATATTTAAGGGCTTTTTTATTGCATACAATTTCCTAGTTCATTTTAGATTTTGTTATATAAACCCAAATCTAGTTCAAATGGTCAAAGGTGGCAAATTAATAGTTACCACAATTTGTCATTTCTAGGCTGTGTTTGATACTACTGTTATTGCTGACCATACTACTTTAGCCAAGGTGACACAATTGTGCCAATCAGTTGTTCTTTCTGGTATACAAAGACTGAGATTGCCTAAGGGCCTTAAAACAAACAACAGGCCAGTGGCTAAGAACCAGTGGCTGGGCAAAGCAGGCAGAAACTTCTCCCCCAATAAATTGAAAAGGTAGGATCTTACAACAGACTCAAAACCCAAAAGCCAGCTATACTTGGAAGAACCCTTCCTAAGGGTTCTGAATACCGACAATAAAGCTACTCACCATAAGCAATTTACAAGCATCAGCCCAGTAATTAAACTTTAAAAAAAAACACACCAAAAAACCAAAAAACTGCAGACACTTAAACATGATGCAATTTCTCCAGGCTTTCAGCTTATCAAAGGCAAACTCAAGGGGGCATCAGAAATCAATCCAGCAGCAGCTAGATGATGCAAAGAAGAATAACAAGATTGACTGGAGTCAAAGAAAAAGCAGGGAATAGTACAGATGACATAAAAAGCCTGTTCACAGAAAACTTCCCAAATGGGGAAAAAGAATTTGATACACAGATAAGTGAGACATACAGAACCCCAATTATCCATGATAAAAAAAAAATCTTCCCCAAGGAATATGAGTCAAAATTCCAGAAATTCAACACAAGAACAGAATATTAGAAGCTGTTAGAGAAAAGAAACAAATCACCTATAAAGAAAAGCCCATCAGAATCATAGCAAACCTTTCACCACAATCCCTCAAGTCAAGGAGAGCTTGAAGAATTTCAAGCTCTAAAGGAAAACAACCTCCACCCCATATTGATGTACCCCACAAAACTAGTTTTTCAAAATTGATGTAGAAATGAGACACTTCCACAAAAAATACCAAAGAAATTCATGACCTCCAAACCAGCACTCCAAAGTATTCTAAAGGATATTCTAGAAAGAGTTAACAAGGATTACAACTCCATAAACCCCAAAAGAATGACTCTACCAGGCCAGGCAATAAAACAGAAGAGGAAAGAAAGGAGCCAACCACAGAAAATATGACAGGGATAAGTCAATATGTACCAGTTATAATCACTAATGTTAATGGTCTCCATTCACCAATTAATATAAACTAGGTACATTCCAGCCAGAATGAAGTCACTTTTGTCCTAATTCATAAATACATCCCTTTCTGACACAAACTGTAGGGATCTAATTGGTCTTGCTGCCACCCAGGACCATACCTATGTGGGTAGGTCTCCCCAAAGTGCACTCTGCAATCTTACATCTAGTTACCTCCCACCTCTCTCACATAATACCAGAGGGCTGGTCCTCATGTACAAGGTCAGTGTTGTTCTAGAATAAGAGTCACGGAGGTGAGGTCTAGAGCACCAAAGGAAGCGGGCGATAGACACAGCTAGTGAGCAACAGAGCTAGAATAACAGGACCAGTTTTGAAAAGTTCAAGTCAATAGACATTTTTAC